AATGACTTGAAAGAAATTTCTTAGTTTCTAGAAGTATTGTCATTCTACAACTTGCTATTAAAATGTCATCCACATATAGGATCATAAGCATGAAATTACTCCCACTAAACTTCAGATAAATACATTCATCGAGTTTATTCTCCTTAAAACCAAAATTAGTCACAACTTTATCAACCTTCAAATACCATTGCCTGCTCGCTTGTTTAAGTCCATAAATCGATTTTCTGAGTTTGTAGACTTTTGTTTGATCTATCTCAAAACCATCAGGCTGCAACATGTAAATGTTTTCTTTCAAATCACCATTGAGAAAATCTGTTTTGACGTCCATTTGATGTAATTCCAAATCAAAATGTGCCACTAATGCCATTAATATTCTCAATGAATCCTTTGTAGAGACCGGTGAGAAAGTCTCGTTATAATCAATCCCTTCCTTCCGATTATATCCATTTGCCACCAATCTCGCCTTGTACCTTTCAATCCTCCCATTGGAATCTCTTTTAGTTTTAAGAAACCCACTTATTCCCTATCAGTTTGTATTATGTAGGTTTGTCTACCAATGTCCAGACTTTGTTCTTAAATATGTGTTTGTCCCTAATCTTCAATCAATCTTCAAATCTTCTTCAAGAACATGATAAAATGACATTCTTCAAAGTATGATACTTGAGAGAAAAAGTCAACAAGTCAAATTGTATATTATTTCACTAAAGCTCACTTACACAAGGATTATTACAATTAAGCTCTCTTACTCACTATTAACCACTAATCGAAGTCTTACCAAGGATAGCCACGACTTTCATTGAAAAAGGATAGGCCACTCGCTGAGCGCCCTAATCAGACTATCCTCTATCCGGATAGATATGCCCCTATGAGCGACTATGCCGATCTTTATATGTTTTGGCCACGTGCGTTTCCGCTAAGAAGAAGAAGACCTATTTATAAGTCAAACAAAATACAAAAGTCAAAGTCAACATTCAAGAAATACAAAGTCAATCTTTTCAAGGATGAATACAATTAAAGTCTAAAATTCAATCCTAACATTCTCCCCCTCTGGATTCAGGCTTGAAAGAATTTGTACACTTTGAATCCCTTTTGAAAACTTTGAATCTTTAAGCACTTGAAAAACTTCTTTAAATCTTCAAGATAATCTTCTAACATTCTTCTCTTGATATTTTTCAAATATTCTTCCCTTGAGAAAATCTTTCAAACATTCTCCCCCTCGAATGTAGAACAAAACTGTTAGATCCCATAATGCAAAATGTAAAAGGTAATGAAAAACAATAAGTGATGAAGAATCAGAAGACCGATGAAGACATCAAGGCAGAAAAGACTAAGTCTGCATCGATGGAAAGACCAACCATCGGACCGATGGACCAAGTGCAACCAGCGGATCGATGGATGATG